ATGGAAGGAAGTAAAAGCAGAAATTAATGAAATATATAATTTGCAAAGAAAAAGCAATAAATTGGTTCTTTGAAAAGACATAAAATGTGTAGTAAACTCTTGGTGTGAATTATCAAGTAAAAAGAAAAATGCCAGAACTAACCAATGTCAGGAATGAAAAGAATCATTGTGATTGTGTTAAGATACTTTCAATAACTGAAATGTAGATGAAACAAGCAGATTCATACAGAAAAAATGCCAGAACCATAACAAGAAAGAAAATTTAGTAGTCCGGTAACTATTAAAGAAATTGAATCTGTAATTTAAAAGCTTTTCCACAAAGAAAATTACAGACCTGGATGGCTTTACTGGTAATTTCTACCAAACACTGACAGAAGAAGTAACACGGAAATTACGTAACAAAATCTCAGGAGTGGTAAGTATTTCTCAAATAAGATACAAGAAACACAGATAACTCTAATAAAAGAAATGGTTGCTGTATTTGACTATATTAAAATTAAAAACATATTCACCAAAAAATACCATTTATAAGAACAAAGGGGCCATAGAGTTGGAAAATACATTTTTAATTCACATAACCTTCAAAGGACAGGCATCCAGCATGTATAAAGTCCATACACCAAAAGAAAAATAACACTCAACAGAAAAATGGGCAAAAACTTAAAGCAGAACCTCAACAGGGGAAGACTGTCAGTGAACGTGCGGGGAGGACGCCGCGCGGTCTGGAGTTGGCGGCGGCGGCAGGTGGCAGGTGTCCCCTGCGCCGCGTGGCGGGGACGGTCCCGGGAGGAAACTCCGGGAGGAAACGGTCCGGACGGGGGAGCCGCGGCGAGCACGCACTGCGGCCACCAGGGGGCGCCGTGGGGCGAAGGGGAGAGAAGGTCATTCCCCAGCGTCCTTCCAGATGCGTCTGGTGGTGAAATGCTGGGGGAGAATCGTCCTTCACAGAGGTGACGAAATGCAAGTATGTCCGAGCCAGAAATGTCAGAATTTTGGATTCTAGTCGGATAATCTTTGGGTCAAAGTGAACGGACAGTGTGGCCGCGGTTAATTCCTAATGCACACGGTGCTTGCGAATTTGGGCGTGGGATTTGGAATACTCAGTGACTGTTGCTTTTTTCCAGGGACCCCAAGGGAAATGTACCAGAAATACAAACGGTCCAACTCTGAACGGGAATGAAAAGCAGGTAATATGCGTAAAAACCAATCAATTTTAACATACACTGAAAAACTGAATATTCCAAAGACCCCGCCCTGCATCTGCTCATCGGTTCTGACCAGTTGGTATTTTCAGTCTTTTTAACTTTGGCCATTTTGGCGGGTGTGTAATGACGTTTTATTGCGGTTTCAGTTTGCATTTCCCTGATTATTAGTTGGGTTGAACTTTTCATACTCGTGTGGACCATTTGATTGCTTCTTTTATGAAATGCCTTTTTAAGTATGTTTTTTTTTCTCATTGATTTTGTGGGTGTTCTTTACATGTTCTGGATATGACTCCTTTGTCAGTTATACCTATGGCAAACATCTTCTCCCCCTCTGGCTTGCTTTGTCGTACACTTAATGGTGTCTCTCGATGAAGAGAAGTTCGTAACTTTAAACTAGAGATTTATTTTTTCTTTTATGGTTAGTGTTTTTTTGGTGTGTTTTATTTTAGAAGTCTTTCCCAACTCTAAGGTTGTGAATGTATTCTGTATTACCTTCTAAATACTGAAATGCTTTGCCTTTTATATTTAGCACAGAACACATCGGGAATAGATTTTTGTGTGTGCTGTGAGGTAGGCGTCAGATTTTATACGTCTCCCTACAGATTGTTCCTGTACCATTTATTGAAAAGATAAGGCTTTTTTTCTACTGCACTTCTGTGCCATCTTTGCTGTAAATCTAGTGTCCACGTAATACTTATTTCTGGGTTCTTGTATTCTGTGTTATCAGCCTGTTTCTCCATTCCCCAGTAGCACCCTGTCTTAATTACTCTAGTATTACAATATATACTGATATCTGAGTGAGAAAGTTCTCTGACCCCTGTACTTTTCTGATATTCTTATATCATTCATTTCCAAATAAATTTTACAACCAGCTGACCAACTTACAGACACGTCCACCTACACATAAACACAGTTCCAATTTTGATTGGGATTTTCTTGAGTTCATGTATCAAATTGAAGGAAATTGACATACATCTTCATGAAGTTTAGTCCTCTCATCTGTGAACCTGGTATATTCCTTCCTTTATTTAGATTTTGTGTTGCTTTGTTATATTGTTTTGGTTTAAGGCCTTTCATACTTTTTATGTAAGGTTTAAGTGTTTGATGTATTCGATGCTATCATAAATTTCAGTTTTTAATTTAGTCCTTACAAGTATTAATATAAATGAAATTGATTTTTAATGTTAATCTAGCATTCAGCAGCCTTACCAAGCACACTTAATCCTAATAATAATTATTTTAGATTTCCTATATACACATGTAACCTGCAGCTAAAGATAGTTCTAGTTCTTCCTTTTTAATTCTTAGACCTCTTATTTTTTATTGGCTACAACTTTAAATATAATGCTGAATAGAAGTGGTGATAGGGGAAAATTGTCAGCATTGCACCAATAAATACACTGCTTGCTGTAAATTTTATCTATTAACTCTTGTCAGATTAAGAAAGTTCCCTTCTATTCCTAGTTTGCTAAAACTTTTTAATCATGAATAAGTGTTGAACTGTTAAATGCTTTTCCTGCATCTATTGAGATACAATTTTGGGTTTTTTTCCCCTCCTTTATTCTGTTAATATGTTGTCCCAGTTACTATGACTGAGTAACAAATCAACCCAAAATTTAGTGGCATGAAACCAACCATTTATCATGCTTATTTATGGGTCAGGAACGTGCACGGGGCTTGGTTCTTGCGGAGTCTTCGGGAAGGGTGCGTGGAAAGTAAAGTTTTGATTCACTGCTGGTCTAATCATCTGTGTTTTGCCGTCTCACTTCATTGAGAGTACGGCCGTAGACAGAATTCTAGTTCGGAACAATCTCTCCCACAAGTACAGACCACGGAGCTGCTGCTCAGAAATGTGGGAATCCTCAGAGTCTCCAGAACAAAAGGTCCATTGAGGGCTGTGGAGAAAGTATAAATGTAAAAACCATTTTCAAGTTTCAAAACATAACAAATGAAGAGATCTTTGCTATCCTTCTCCTCTTCAGAACATTTTCCTTGCTTTCTTTTTGTAGAACTGTTAATCATCATCCCTCATTACTCACCAGGATGATTTTTTTCTAAAAGGTCTGTCTGATGACACTAGTTTTCTTCAAGAATACCAGACTGAAAAGAGGGAGGGAGGAAGGACGACTTGTGCCTCTTCCTGGTTTGCAGCAGTCCCCAATCCTGACCCCACTGGCCCAGACGGCCCACGGCCTTCGCTCTGTTGTGCGCAGGTCAGACGTGGCTGCATTTACACAGAGACGACCCAGTCACTCATCCCCTGGACCTGTCCAGGCAGCAAGAACCGGAGGTAAGCAAAACCTATGACACTTGTGGAAAATGTTAATGGTACAAAATAGACATTATGGGACATTGCAAAGGGGTTCAACTTAAAATCACCCCATTTGGAATTCAGAACGTGGGTGACTTTGCCAAGAGAAAGTAGTAGAGGGATTGTTGCCTCCTTTGCAGTATTTCTGCAAAATGAAACACTTGTTTTTAAATCTAGAAAACAGCCACTAAAATGCTTTCTGACACTGACTGAGGATGCTGCACTCAGCGGATGAAGCCCCGTGGGAGTGTGTGGCCCAGAGCTGGTCCATGGCAAGGACTCAGCCAGGCCAACGTCTTTGAAAAGCACACGGACATACGACAGATGAGTATGTGTAGAAAACAAGCAATCTTAAGAAAAAGGTAACCAGGGGAGGTTCTGATGATTTTGAAAAAAGTGTCTTCCTTGCTGCCTCTTTAAAGGAGAAAACCAAAACCGTACAATCTTTCCTGGGCCCTCAAGGCAGACTCTCAGTGGCATGTACCTGTCGAAAGCTGCTGAACCCATGACTTAAATGAGTTGTAAAAACTCTAATGAGCTCTAGAACTGGATTTACAGAAGAGAAAATTTAGGGGCTAGAATGAAGCATTGTCTTTACTTTTCTGCTAATATTAATACCACTTAATGAGATGAAAGTGAACTTTCTTCAACACTAAGATCACCAAGCTGAGCACTTGTGAGGTTCCAGATCACACACTGGGGGCCGCCTTATTCAGGGAGTCATTTTTTTGCTCAGAAAACACAAAGATTTTTCTTCTGGGCATCAGAGGCAGGGCAGCTAGAAAACCATTAAGATGATAAGCACTGAGAGGATGAGGGCAGGGGTCAAAATGAGCCGAGAGGTTGCATGTGTGTGAGAGAAAGTATTAAAACAAACAACCCTCATAGTCTGGGAAGCATCATAAAGATACCAAAATATAAACAGAGTAAGATGAGTCATTTAATGGTTTCAATTCTCTTACTGGACCATTCTGGATAGAGAATATAAATATTAATACAAAGTGAAATTTCAATACTTTGAAGTCTGCTAATAGTATACTTTAAGCAGAGGCCATAGAATTTTTACATTTTCACAAGTTGTAGCAACTCCCAGACTATGTCTCTGGTATTTTTTTAGTGGTTACCTTTCAACATATGCATGTCTTTTTAAAACATGAGGTCAAAGTAGAGCTCCTGATATACCAAAATCAGTGTCTTGTCTTCATAATTGAGATGTTTTGTTGGATTGTCAGAATTTTATTTTGCAAAGAACTTCATTTTAGGCCAATTTCCTTTTGGAGTCTTTGGACATGAGGACAAAAGTTACCAAAACTTTTCCAAATACCTAAATATTTTTCTTAATGACTTTTCTATTTTTAGAATGTTGTGTGGCAATTCTCAGGATACAGCTAACCCTAACTAGCTATGCAGTGACGTGTCTCTGACGGGATGAGACACACACGTGGATCTTTGTCTTAAGCGAAGGTCAGCTGTGGCACTTTGACATTTTAGATCAAACCAGTCTGTGTTTGGGGAGCAAAGTCACCCCTATGGGGAACCACCATCCTCACAGCTACATGATGCTACTAAGCACTTCAAATGTGGCTCGTTATGAGGAACAGAATTCCTAATTTTATTTCATTTTAATTATTTAAATCCTATACATACTGTAAGGACAAGATGCTTCAGTATGGAAAATTAGATATTTGAAAATACTTATCTCTAGTGAACAGCAAGTCCTATTTAAGTTTCATTCTGACTAGTCATTTGTTAATTTATAATTTAAATTGTGGAGTTCAAGATTAAAGTCAAAAGTGATAAAATTGTTTTTGCATGATAGTAGTCATAAATGAAAATACAAGAATGCAAAAAAGGTGCTGTAAGTGAATTCTGGTAAATAATAATTCCTAGAAAGGAAAAACCAACCAGGATTGAAAGAAGACATTTATTGAATCAAAATCAATACTTTATTTTTAATATCTACAAGCCAACACTGAACTCACTTTATTCAAGGATGAACACAATGTACAAAAAAAGTACACTTACATTATAAAAATAAGTCAATTTTATCTTGGTGCTCAGCAGAAGTCATTTTAACTAAAATCAAGGCAAACTTGTTCTCTATAATGAAACTGCTATAATTTAATAACGAAAGCTAATGTACTCACAAAGTAAAGTATTTTTAAAGGCCCACTGAGATGGTGCTGCACTGGAAATGCTGGGCCCAGCGTCAACATTTCCACTCTGCTTATTGGCACCAGTTCGCGCCCACACCGTGGGAAAGTACCTCTTGCAGATCACTGCTAACAGAATCCGTGTGAGTAAATCTTCATTCGCCTTCCCTTGCTTAGCATATATTTCAGCAAAGTATTCAGTATAATGAATTTTGAGCAGTAAAATCCTATTTATTTATTTAATTAGCTTCAATTTAAAAATGATACATTGCTATGGGGAACAAATGACCTCCCCCCCTTCACACCTCAACTTTTTTTGTAATTTTCTTGACTTTTCTGGCACTTTCCCAGGCACCACTGGCACGTGTTCTTGTACATGGCACAGTTAACTGTGCCTGTAGAATAGTCACAGGCTAAAAAGCCCAGCTTGCTGCAGAGAAGCCTCCAATACTTGCTGTCCTTGGAGCAGCAGGAAAGACGGGAAAAAGGGACCATGGTTCCCTGTATTGTAGTTCCAGGAGTTATATGACAAATAGAAAACTGTACTAATTTAAATAGTCAAAACAGAAGTAAATTAAATAGCATCAGTGCTGACAATGCAAGAAAATCTGTCTTTTGAAGAAAGAGCTTGCACACAGCAAGTTAAACAAACTGTAAATTGCCTATTTGTTTTTCCTTGACAGATTCTCTCTGGGCTTGGGACAGATGAAGGTTCAAAATTGCAAAATACAAGGTGCCCCACCTGACTGGCTAAATGAAATTCAAAAACATTGGGAGAGAAGGGCTTTCGTGTTTTGCCTTCCTAAACCTACCATTTATTCAGTTACCTGTTTCACAGAACTTGGGACTAAGGTAAAAATGAAAGCAAAAGAGAAAATGATCACTGTTCCTTTAATTACCTAATTCCCTATAGCTCTCTAAGTTTTCAAGTAAGCCCCATTTGTTGCATGAAATGTTGATCTTACCAAATGTAGCTAGAAAGGCCTGAATTAGACATAGGATTTAAACATTTTAATGAGAACACAAACCACTGACTCTGGCTTAACACTACAGTTTAAGAGGGAAGAAGAAACCTTTACAAAAATATATGAATACACAAAATTTGTGGAGGATAAACATGCACTGGAACCTGAGCAAAGGCTTCTCACCACGACCATAAAGACTCACCATGGGGGTGGTTTTTCCACTGGCAACAATTTAGCCAGGTCAGCATGTTGCTCTTGGCAACATCCATGCCCCTAAATACAGAAAGGCCAGTGACTCTGGCGGTCTGTGGGGACAGTACAGGCCAGAAGTCCAACAAATGCTACTGGAAAAAACTGGATACCATAATATTAAATATAAAATAAAAACAAGTAAGTACACAGGTGAACGAACAGCTAGTAAGATGAAGATGCTCAGAATCAGACTGGAGAAGAGTGTTACGCAACCACCCCTGTTACAATCACAGGTCCTTGCTCTCAAAATAAATATACTGAACATTTACAACAGAATGAATGCAAGCTTTTCTTTTTATTGCAATTCTAGTCAAACAGACCAGAATAAGCTACAAGTTACCTTTCTCTGTGAAGACAATGTGCCTTGGTGCCACAGCTAAACGTTCTGTATCTAATAGCAGCAGCAGCCCAGGGCAGCAAAGAAATTTTCATCTCTGGCATCCCATGGGCTCCCATCAAAACAACTTCATAAAGCATGCAGATAATCTATTCTGCTGCAGTTTCAAAAACAAACAAAAATGATCATTGTGCTTGTGGGTCTCATACCTTCCAATATATACATAAATGGTGGTAAGTTAACAAATAATAGCAGGTCTTTCCTAATAAAAGGCAGACAGTTGGCGGTGAATAGAAAAACATTTAAAATCAAAAAAAAAATTGCAAAATGGTTTTAGCATTTACAAAAAAAATCATGCAAAGATCAGATCCATACAGATATTCAAGCTACCATCCAGAGAACTCTGTCCGTGAGTCCGAGGCATGCGCTGAGGAAACGCAGGGTTCGTCTGACAGTATCTTCTTCAGAGCAGAACAGTGAAGTGTCACTGGAGTAATCACAGGAGGGTGAACAGATGCCATCACACTTCTTTTTTTATAATTAAAAGAAACCACAATCACAAGACAAAAAAAATTATAGAATAGTGGATAGAGGAAATATAGAAATTCACAATGACCTATAAAACCAAAAGAAAAATTCAAATTATTTTTATACTCTAAGGGTTCATCCTTTTTAAAAGTAGTCTTTTTATCTGAAAAGTTTATAACGGAAGATTGTTAAAGTGTTAACTCTAAAATTACTTAATTACTCATGAGATTACATACTGTATCAATACTCAGTAATTTCACGCTTGTTTAAAGGAAACAAAAGCAGCATCTTGTCACCAGAATCTCAGGCAAAGCCCCTTCCCCAAAGTATTCAAAAAGCAGTAACTGCACCTAGCTGAATAAAGTAATTTTGACTTTCCCAGTAAGCTTACAATTAAGAGAACAAACTATATATATATTTTTAACCCCAAGAACTAATTAACTATGGTGTCAGCTATTTGTTGGCCTTGAGGCCCCGGGTCTGAGGCACTCACTGGAGAGGGGATGGGGTTATCCTGCCTTCGTGTCCACAAGCTGCATCTGCACATTGGCAGACATTCCACCGCCGTAGCCTCCCTTGGACTGCATCTGGTTCTGAATGGAGCTAACCTGAAACACAAAAACGGAACACAACAAAATGAACTAAGTGATTCTTTTCCCAACATTTTAGCTGGGCTGCTTTTTTTCATTGAAAAAAATGTTATTTTTTTTATAGGCTTAAACAAAATTTTCTGGTTATGAGGGCAAATGGTGAGGCTAGTAATTGAAACATTTTTTACAACAACTCCTGCTTCCCCCTTTCTCTACTTCCCAGTTACTAAAAGTCGGTTTTATAATTGACAAGGTACTCGTAACATTTCAAGAACAGTCAAAAAGATACAGACCAACTCAGCTTTCTGTTCCTCAATCTCAAACATCTTAATTTACAGATACCTCACATATATGATCACCTCAATTACTTAGAAAATAAAAATGAATGAAACTGGACCAGCCAATGATAAAAGTCTATGGTAAAATTTGCAGACTTAATATTAAGTAAAAAAAAGTCCAACAATCCAGAGTGTACTCACAGTTTACTTGTTAATATTGTAACTGGGTGAACTATTTATCTCCTCTGAATATCAGGCTTCTTATCTGTAAAGTGGTTAAGATGATAATCGCTCCTAACCATATTACAGGGCTGTTTCCTCATAGATTGTGAGATATATATATATATGCTGGAATTTTTTTTACTTTTTGCTCAAACAACAGCACATAAAGTCATTTGCAAACTGTGAAGTACTTTTAGTGTATCATTATTATTCCCATCTTGGGTCGTAGAAGTTAGCAGCAGTATGGAAGCAAAGAATCAGAGTCAGGCTAAACTGGTAGGAGGAACATCAGCAATAAGAAGATTCTGGAGGTGATGGGTCTTACCGTGAAGAGAGTCCGAGCACTGGCAGTTCTGCTAGCACAGAGGTCCCCAACCTTTTTGGCACCAGAGACCAGTTTCATGGAAGACAATTTTTCCATGGACTGGGGGTAGGGGGATGGTTTCGGGACGATTTAAGCTCATTACATTTACTGTGCAGTCAAACCTCTCTGCTGATGATAATCTGTATTTGCAGCTGCTCTGCAGAGCTGGCATCACTGCCTCGGCTCATCAAGGCATTAGATTCTCACGAGGAGCGTGCGACCTAGATCCCCCGCATGCGCAGTTTGCAGTAGGGCTGGGCTCCTGTGAGAATCTAACGCTGCCGCTGATCTGACAGGAGGTGGAGCTTACGCGGTGATCTGAGTGATGGGGAGCGGCTGTGAATACAGATGAAGCTTTGTTCATTCCCCCCACTGCTACCCTCCTGCCAGACCAGTACTGGCCCAGGGCCTGCAGTGTTAGGGTATCAAAGGCCCTTCACACTTCCACGATCTGGAGGGGGGAGAGGCGAATGGGGCACCAGCCGTTTAGTAATCTACTTACCAGACACTGAGCACACATGGTAACACAAAGCACAAGTGAGGTGCTTTCTCACTGGTGATGATGAGTCAATATATTAAATACTGTATGTTTAAATAAAGGAACAAGACTTGGCCAAGTCATTTTTGGAGTTAGGCAGGTTTAAATATATATTATAATAGAAGAGAATAGCAAAATGTAAAATGCATAGTTTACTTACATCAAAAGGGTCTAAATGAGAAAATATGTTTGGCTCTTAAATGGGTACATTTTTACTGATCAGTAAATATGTTTGGCTCTTAAATGGGTACATTTTTACTGATCTGGAAAATTTACTTATGTGGAACAACTTATTCCAACAGTTTCATATAATAAGATGTGACTATAATAATCTATATTACATTAACCAAATGACTACTTTAGGTAAGAGTACATGAAAAAGAAACTGCAATCTATAGATTTTTTTTTTTTTTTTAGTAAACTTGCTCAGTTAATACAGTCTGAGGAGGCCATTCCCTGCCATATGATACCAGTTCAAAGTCATTAACTGCCCCTTCATGGTAAATAACATCACATTTATGCAGCACAAACGTGATTTCAGCCCTGATACCAAATAATTTTCCACCTAACATGCCATGTTAGCGTTTATAGATATTTTAGGCTTATTTAAAAAACAGTATCATTATGTTTTTACACTGGTCATTTATAATGCCATGTAGATTCTAATTAAGAAAAAAAGTATTTTTCCTACAAAAGTCAATTCTTCAATTTCAAACTAAAAGGTTCGGATTGCATAATAAGTGACCTTTCAGTGTTGAGACTGAGTTTGTTGCTGTGACATACAACAATTATTATTGAAAGGGTCACAAATCTTTTCTGGCAATAAGTTAGTATAAAAGATAGTCTTGGAAAGAACAATATATTTAGAGGAAGAAAGAAATTACGAGTCATTTGACCACTCAGTAACACAGTTCAGGCAAGGCTGTTTCACATGCATCAAGCCATGCTCCTAATTCCAGTTGCTCAGTTCTTAGGACAAACTTGAGACAGTATTTTTTTGGATTAATACCACATCTATTTACATTTTTGTCTTATTCACACTGTTACTGCACAGAACATAATTTCTCTCACAGAGTCAGGCTTATCAAGTTAGAACTACCAGTGATACTTTCAGGATACTTACTACTAACTGAACCACACCCTTCCTAACAGCAAGAACGCAGTGCTCTGTGAGGGCTGGATGCTGAGCAGTGCTTTAGAGACAAGAAACTCACATGTGAAATGACTACCAAAAATCTTTGGGAAACACATTTGGTTCTAAAGCTGAAATGCTTCATAAAAAGTGCACTTTGGAGCAGTGGAGGCTGCCTGGAGAATGCAGGATACAACTTTGACAATAGCTGAGGCCCCACCCTAATCCTGCATTACGTTGAAGAGGCAGACAGGGAAGCCCTGCAAAGTACAGTCCTGAAGTTCTGCCTGAACCTACAGCAAGCACAAGAGTTGGGTATCCCCATGACAGGCTCCACTGAGATAAAATGCCAGGGAGGAATCTTAAAGGAAATTCTAAAATGTGCATAAAAAAGAGTTAAAAGGTTAACAAACAACACAAACTAAAATTTAATTTTTCCTACACAGTTGGATTTTTTAAAAAATCTGAAGTGGCAAAGATGATGACATCAGTTGATGAGAAAGAAATTAAAATTTATCATTATATAATAAATTTGAAGTCATTCTATTTTTATATATTATAGTAACCATATTAGTAAAAGTAACAAGTGTCCCATTTAGTTTTTTCACTCCATGTTGATGCACGAAACAAAGCAACTGACTCTGTTTTGACAACATGACACCTCTTGCACTTCCACAAAAGCAGTCAAGTGAAACAAAGTACTTTTCCTACAGATTTAAAACAAACAAGCTATTTCCTTTCCAGGAAGCTACAAATGTCATTCCTTTGCTCACCTAGTAACTGAAGTGGCAGATGTGGCTGTATCCAGGATAACCATCCACCTATTTTAAAAGTCTCTGTTCTCTTGTTAAGTCTTTTGCTAATGCTGTCTAGTAAGTCAGTATACAATGGATCATGATTTTGTGTTTATAAAAATCTGAATTGACTTCCTGGTTTTGAACACGTTAGGCATCATCTAGACACTTGTTTAAGCATCAGGGAAAGAGGCCCTTGACACTTAGGGGCTTGCTGAAAGGCCAGTGAGGCAGAGCCCTGATAAGAACTCTTATTTGATATCTCTTCTTCTATAATGCATTCTGGTTTTCTCTTAGAGAAAAATCAAGGAATAAAAGGTAAATCTGAAGTCTATTCTGAAATTCACTGAGACCTCTCTAAGAGACAACAAATAGATTTTTCTTATTTGTGGTTCTTCCCATCTTACTGCCAAATATGACAGAAATTTTTGCTGCCTTGCCCTAAAGGGGTATGTGCAAATTTCACTCCTCTGTTTAGTGCACAAAAATTTAGAGTAAACAAATAAATCACAAATATTCTAGTATCAGGTAAAGTCTAACACTTCTTAAAGTAAATGCAAGAAAAATGTTTGCAAAAGTCAATTAAGTGAACTTAAGAGAACCAAAGAAATTAAATATTATTAATAAAAGGCTGATCTCCAAGTCTCTTTGATGGAAGCATGATAATCAATAGGATGTTAACCTCCGTCCTGAACTCAAATCCTTTAAAGTGTCAAAGTATTTACTCAAGAATATGGCAGCTACGAAGAGTTTAGTACAAGAAACAGAAACAAATACTTGGCAAATGAGATGAGGATTAACTTTCATAATTTTCCTCTCCCTTCTATGCTCACATTATACATTCATAGTCACTGTCTACAAAATAATTTAGCACAGTGTTATTAAAAATGTATGTACTTATTACACAGCTTTCACATACCTATCTGCATGTTCCGACCCACATACTTACTGAGTTCATTCCGCTGAAGAGGTCTCCTGATCCTACGTGAGCCGTGTGTACGAAGTTTGTAGGCTCTCCAATCATGCTTCGGTCAATCCGTCGTCGCCTTTTCTAAAATATGGGGAACGATGTGTTGGTAAAATGATCTTATTATCAAAAAACTTATTCTAATGGGTTTATATACTATTAATGAATTACTTTGTTTAATAATATATTTGCCTAGGACATAAAAATGCCTAACTTTTATACTACCACAGTTACCTCTTATGATGAAATCCCCAAAAGAAATATATGCACCAAAAAAATGATTAGTAAAGCAAAATAATAGGTTATTAGAAATTAATAGGCTATTTGGTCTAGCTTTGGCCATCCACATATCTGCATAATAACCATTTAAGTTTTAGTCTTTTTGAAAAAATGAGACAACTGTAAAATTATCAGTCACCATTATTGTTAGCAGAGAACACAGTGTGATCTGAGCACAATGCTCTGATTTTAAGTATTACTTTCTAGCATTCATCAACAAATTTACTATATTTTGATGGTCATTAATTCGATCTGTGGTCCCCAACATTTTTGGCACTAGGGGCCACTTTCACAGAAGACAATTTTCCACGACGGGTGCAGTGGGGGGGTGGTTTCAGGATGATCCGAGCGCATCACATCTACTGTGCAGTCAGACCTCTCTGCTAATGATAATCTGTGTTTGCAGCTGCTCCGCAGCGCCAGCAACACCACCTCAGCTCCACCTCAGGTCATCAGGCATTGGATTCTCACAAGGAGCATGCAACCTAGATCCCTCTCACACGCAGTTTATGCTCCTGTGAGAATCTGCTGCTGCTGCTGACCTGACAGGAGGTAGAGTCCATGCAGGCAGGTGAGCGGTAGGGAACAGCTCTAAATACAGAGGAAGCTTGGCTCGCTCGCCTGGTCCCTAACAGCCACAGACTGGGGGTTGTGGACCGCAGACTTAGATTATACCCAATTACCTTTCCATGCTGGAATGAATCTGTCATCCAGCTGGCAGGGGTTAGAGGGATTGATGGATTTGGTTCTAGTCTACTCTGTCTTCTGGTCTGTTCTGGCTGGGAACAAAACCCTGTATAAACTCAACTAGGCTGGGTCTTATTGACTCTTCCTAATTTTTGACAGCCACTTCTTACAGGGTGCTAGATCCTGTTTCCCAATAAATTTAGCCACCAACTAATGTCCTTGCTCCCACCAATGTGCCCTTCCACCTCATTAGAGATATTTCCTTACTCTATTGCAGTGTTTTACTGATCATCTGAGATTTTTCCAGAGACAGAGCTTATCTTAGATCAGTCCCAAGTTTTCCATGGATCCTTAGATACTGTAATCTAATTGGGAGAGATACTTGCACAGCTTGGTTAGTACCCTCTATCAGCTCTGCTTGTCCCAGTTGACTTTCCTTCTGAATAGTGTACTGCTCCTGAAATTGCAACTTCCCTCAAAACCAAGCCAAGTTATAAACTGGTGGGATTAGGCTACCTTTGAACATAGTATGTTAACATCCACATCTATTGAAATGTTGGCACGATCCTAATAAATCCTAAAATTTTATCACAACAGTGCCACATGTCAGGTCCTCAGGAACAGAACATGATTTTCTGTAAAACCACAAAAGTAGTTCACGCATATATTTCAGAAGTCTGTATACATTGTTTTACTGCCCTCTAGCTTTTATTTTCCCAAATTAGAAGCCAAAAAGAAGCCTGATGCTTTTACTCTGAAATATTTATGTTCTTTATCCTCAGAGTTCAGCGATGACATTGGACTTTCTCCAAGTTTGTTGGGTTTTCCTTCCAGTAATTCTGCATAGCACATGGTCATCTCTATCTGAATACTGGTTTGCTGTATCTTAGAAAAGTTTTCTTCTATTACCTCTTTGAGATTGCTCCCTTTTTGCTATTTCTGTAATTCCTGCTATGTGGACACCTGAACGTGTGTATGTGTATGTTTAATCTTAAATGTTTCTTATGTTTTCATCTATTATTTTTATTTCTCTTTATAATTTCACTGCATTGCAAAATCACTCCACTTAAACCTCTTCAGAAGTCCACAATTTTTTTCTTAAGGGCCAGACGGTAAGTATTTTAAGCGTGAACGCCAATACAGTGTCCCTCACAGCTCTGACTGAACTCTGCCACCGCAGCAGGAAAGCAGCTATCAACAACGCACGAGGGAGTGCAGCTATCTATGTTCTGGTAAAAATTTATTTACAAAAACAGGCGGCAGACTAGATTTGGCCGGCAAATAGTAGTTTCTCAATCAGTAAATTTTTCTGTAGTAACCACACACTTTTATTTATCCATCATGGTTATTTTTCAAGAGCTCTTTGTTATGTCACTGCAATACTTTTTAATCTCTTTGAGAATTTGTATTACAGGTTTTCACATGTTGCCCAAAAATGCTTGACTGTACAGTCTACTACCACTAGGGAGCAAAATACTCTCATTTCTTTATTTCTCTAAATTTAGTTACGTCGCCCCCTTTCTTGAAGAGCTGGTAAGAAATTCAGTCTGTCTTTTGGAGCCCTGCTCCACAGGATCATACAAAACTTTCAGGCTAAAATGGTATCAGTAAAGCCAAAACAGGGTCCAGATCCTTTGTCTATGTTTTTAAAATTTTTCTGTTTCCTAACACAACACATTGGTTTGCTGCTACCTTTTTCCAGCATTTGCTGCCTCGGGTGCTCTGAGAGGTGCCTCAACCGCAGACGTCACACCCACAGCCACCCTCTGACCTGGGTGCCCTGTGCCAGGAACGCACTCGTCTCTTCCACTCCATTTCTCATCCTTTCCCCAGACTCAGTTTATCGATTTCCAACCACCTCATTCAACATACTTCTCTTCATACTATTCTCATTTGGGAAGATAAAGCATGATTCCCTAAATGACCCTTAAGAAACAATGCTAGCTTCTCTTTCTTACGATTAAAGTAGGGAAAGAAGACACTAGTTCTGTGCCTCTTTTCTTTCTTGATAATAAAGTGTTATATTTCCATTAAATTTGCCCTGTTAGGAAGCTGTTTGTCCAGGCAAATCCAAATATATCTTCACCATCAGAGGATATAAATTTTCTCAGCATGTGGGCAGAACGAATCATTGGGGTTTCTTCCCTAGTAAGCCCCTTCACTAAAGGGTAGAGGTTCTTGGAACCCTCCAGATAAGAACAGAAAAGGGCAGATGTCTCCAGCTGAGGAAAAAGAACAGCAGTTAAGTTCCACATCTGTAGGACTACAGACTTTCCCCAAGGCCTTGTACCATCAACTTACAAGGACAACTGCTCCTGACGTGCAGAGAGCCACGTGGCTGCCCAGACGGCCCTCTCAGGCAGTGAGGGAACTGACACACGTCAGAGAATGAGACCTAGTTTCAGACCACTGGGCATCTTGATCACCCCTTGCCCTGCAAACATGCAAAAGCAACTCCATACATTTCTGAATCTGCATCGTTTCCTCCGGAAGGTGTGTCTGGTGCTTGGCTGAAGGCGCCCCTTGCACCTCGACTCCACATTGAGTGATTTAATCTAGCAGTCGAGTTACTGCAGGACTGTATTTGGGGAGAAAAGTCACCATGGTGCACGCAGACCACCACCTACCTCACCCAGGAATGTTTCCTGAAAGAAGGAATGGATATGCTTGCGAAAGAGGATGTTGACACACACTCACAAACAATAACACAGCAAACATTCTGATTATTAAGGGAGGATATTGAAAAGCAGGTAACTAAACTGGCTACTCTCACACTGAAAAACAAAGGATGGGTGACTTCAGCTTACTTCTACCACACTGGTTAACCAATTTATAAAATAAATCTGAAAATAGTGAATATTTTTCAACTTCGACTTTACTGATTGAGAGTCAGAATTTAGTGCTGGAAGGTTTCTTCATGCCATCTAATCTAACCTTTTTAGAGATGAAAGCAGCAGCTCTCAATTCCTCCTCCTCTAAGGCTGGAAGGAACACAGCTGCTGCAGGAACTGAAAGGACTGTGTTGCTGAAGCACAGCAAAGGAGCAGGGACCGCAGAGGAAAATATTCAGATAAGCAAGACCCAGATCACACAGGGTGTGAAGGACTGAAGTGTGTGTCCTCTGAAGATCAAGGGGAAATAACTGAAAGGCTTTTGAAGCAGATGAATGATGCAATCACATGGTTTCGAAAGTCTACTCCACGATACCTAAAGGTAGAAAACAGACTCCGAAAAGCCAACAGGAGAAGTTATTACAGTAATGTTGGTGAAAGGGGTTACCTGGATTCAACTAATAGAGAGGAGAAGTGGTAGATTCAACAGGTGTACAGTGGATGGGTTGTTGGCTGGATTTGGTAATTGAGAGAGAGGTGGGAGTTAAGAAATATGCAATGTCCGGACACGGTGGCTCACCCCTGTAATCCCAGCTCTCTGGGAGGCAGAGGAAGGAGGATCACTTGAGGCCAGGAGTTCAAGACCAGCCTGAGCAACAGTGAGACCCCCGCCTCTACAGAATATAAAAAAAAATTAGTCAGGCACGGTGGTGTGCGCCTGTAGGCTGATGCAGTAGAATCACTTGAGCCCAGGAGTTAGAGGCTGCAGTGAGCTATGATGATGCCACTGCTCTGAGGGTGGGCCACAGAGCAAGACGCTGTCTCAGAGAAAAGAACCATGTACACTTCAGATGTGAGTAGAGTATGTGCAACTCACTGGGTTCTGAAAGAAGCTAAACTGGAGGTAAGAGATTCAGAGTTACCAGCATAACAAAGCCCAGTTAATGAGATTTCCTAGAGAAAAAGTGAGTGAGGAACTCTACATTTGAGGTTGGGTGGAGGAGAATAAGCCATCAAAAGAGGCCAAAAAGAAACAGCCTGGAGGTTAGTAGGAAAATCAGGAGTGAGACTGGAAGTACCAAGGAGGGAGCAGGCAACACAGATGAAAGGGGATGAGAGGTCATTAAAGACGGAAATACATTCACTGGATTCGCTACCATGAAGCCAACGGCTCGGCAGAGCACTGCGTCTGCGGAGTAGAGGAGCGGAAGACACGGGAGAGGACTGCAAGGAGCTGCAGGTGAGAAATGGAGAACGCAGACACCTGGAGAAAGCCTGGTCCTCTGG